ATTATTATTATTATTATTATTATTATTATTATTATTATTATTATTATTATTATTATTTTATTTATTTTCCCACAAGTGAAGAAAGGATTCTGTGACTGTGGAAAATGTTCCTGCTGGTTGCTTTTGGAAGATGGGCTGGAGGTGGGGGAGAGGGAGAAATGGGTGGGTGGGGGATAAAATTGAACCAGTTTGATAACTTGGAGATGAAATTTGCAACCTGCAGCCGCCCATCTTAAAGAGGGCCGGAGTCTAATTTAATCCTTCTCTCTTTTCTTTCTTGGCAATGGAACATTATTCATAGAGGTTTTTTTATGTGTGTGTGTGTGAGTGTGTGTGTGTGTGTGTCTGTGTGTGTCTGTGTGTGTATAGGTAGTCCTCAACTTACAACTGTTCATTTAGTGGCCATTGGAAGCTACTACAGCACTGAAAAAAAAACAGCTTTTATGATAATTTCCCACACTTATGACCACTACAGCATCCCCATGGTCGTGTGATCAAAATTCAAGCACTTGGGAACTGACTCCCATTTATGACCATTGCAGTGTCCAGGGGTTACATGATTCCCTTTTGTGACCTTCTGGCAAGCAAAGTCAATGAGGAAGCCAGATTCACTTAACGGCGTTACTAACTTCAACAGCTGCAGTGATTCATTTAACCACTGTGGCAGGAAAGGTCGCAAAATGCCCCAAAACTCATTTAGCAGTTGTCTCACTTAGCAACAAAATTTTTCGGTTCAAGTGCAGTCGTAAGTCACCTTAGACTGTCTACTATTGACCTCACCCCTTTCCTAAGAGGTCTGTAGGGGGCGTGCATAGCGCACCAATGTGCCTACTGTCCCTGTCGTATAGTTACTTTTATTTTTTATTTTTCTTATATGTACCCATATGTTTTTCCTTATACCTATTATCTTGTAAACAATTGACAAAAATCAATCAATCAATCAATCAATCAATCAATCAGCGTGCACAGGGAGAAGTGGGTTTCTCATAGTTTTGTTGTACTCCTTCACTGAGGCTTCCTGCCTTCGTAGAGCTGGTGGTGCAATGTGGCTCAGGACGGGGAGCCAGCAAGTAGGAGTAGATTTTATGCAACCGCTTATGATCCTCATTGGGAGATGTATAAATTTGATAAATAAACAAAACATTGCTGCTCTACCAGTTGCTTTGCATTTGCCTTGAAAGGACGATTTCCTAAAAGGGGGCTGGGAACTTCTTATCAAATCGATCCATAATGACTATTCCTTTTTTCTCTCCGTAGGGCGATAAAGGTCCCCCCGGTGCGGCAGGCGTTCCTGTAAGTATGCTGACTTTGCAAGTCACAACCTGCAGGTTTCTCATGCCTACGTTAATATACAAGGCCCAGGATCTGGGGCAGGACACCAGAGGGAGGCTATAGGTCCTTGCTAGGTGTTGCAAAAAATAGCATATTTTGAAGGACACTATTTGTGGACAACTACTATGTAAGTAGTCCCAGAGGGAGGCTATAGGT